CTGTAAAGAGTAGAAGAAGGGGGAAATAACGGTGCCATTAGAAGCTCTCAGCACACAGGTGTTTTAACAAAGCTGACAAACTAATTAATAGTCATCACATCTACATAACTAAAAGACAACAGTTTCTCAACCCCAAAAGAAAAGTATAAATGGCCATTATAATCCACTATAAAATCAGAGGAGCATTATCTCATTCTATCATAAAAATGATCTCATTAATTAAGAAAAACAGACCAATTTCCTTTTTTTCCTGGGTGAATGCAATACATTTCCATAGTTCCCTGTTTAAACCCAGACTCAAACTAAACCAAGGTGTGAGACGTGTTTTTCAGCACCTGAGCAGGTTTTTATCGTGTCTGTGGAAATGCGCAGCTCATGTTAGAAAAACATCGAGTCAACATCAAGGGGGTAAAAACTGTAAAAACCAAAATAACATGAACATTTTCCCCTTTTAGGGATCGCTTACAGTCTGCGGTGAGAATGCATGGACCTGTCTGAGCAGTGCCCACACACACAAAGATGTGGTTGTTGTTTTGCTTTCAGCTGCCAGTCTGTCTGTCAGCTGAGTCTGCTGCAAAACGCCGCTCATAGTTCCACTGTGTTCAGGGAAAAAACTCCTGCCTGATACATTTGATGGAAGTCCAATTCCACTTGAAATGATTGAGAAATTTCTGTAGCAGGAGTGATATATGTCAATTTGGACAGGTTGTGTTTGCTCCTGAGAGACATTTGATCTGGGAATTCCTACAGTAAGAGAATTTCTGAACGGTTTTGGAGACTGTTTGGATTAGGGGTGTTCAACATACAACTTAGGAACCAAATGCAGCCATTTGGATAAATTTTAACCACGTTTCTATGATATTTTTCTTTTGATTGAGCTTTTATTGATCTCACATAGGAGAAATTTAGCTCTGCATTTAACTCATCCCCTTGGGGATCAGTGGGCTGCCATCGTGGGGTGCCTGGGGAGCAATCGGGGGTTGAGGGTCTTGCTCAGAGAGCCAGAGTGGCAGTCTATGGGAGCGGGTTTAGAACTCACAACCTTAGGATTCCAGGCTCTATGCCCTAGCCACTAGGCCACCACTCACCCAGTAAAGTAGAAATCTGGCATTTTTAGCCAATAGCATTGATGCAGACAGACACTCTTAAGTGTTGTGGAATGTTCCAGTGACTGGGAATGGATTAAAACCCACCATACATTTGAAAACAACAAAAAAAGTCATAGAATTAGACCTCCCTTTTTTTTATTAAGCCAAACTAGTGGACACCCTTATTCAGACTGAGAATAATGAGTTAATTTCATGGCAGATGGGTGCTTTCATTTTCACAGCTGTTGATTAACATATGTAGAGAACATTGGGGTAAAAGGAAATCTGCCTAAATAAAAAAAAAAGTTTGATTTTCATGCTAGCATTTTAAGATCTATTTCCACTTACATCTGTCACTGAACACAAAAATAATGACTTCATAAATGTTTAATGGTTTGAAGACTTTTGCTAGTATTTGTCTGGTTAATTCAGCAGGTGGATGTTTGGCTTAAAGCCGTGCACTTAGTGCTTAAGTGCCTTTGCACGTCAGAGGATTAGCTAGGAAATACTATAGCCACTCTTTGCAACCTAACGTAAACTGAACTTGAATGCCTGACCAGAGATCAGTTCCTGACAGATCTCAGTAAAACCGACGTTTTCCACCAGAAAACTGTTTTGTTTTTTTCTTTTTCCCACTGATTATCTACAGACAAGAAAGGAGCCTGAACTCCATAAAACAACCAAATAATATCCTTGGAGGCAGGAATAACTCTAGTGGGTAAGGACGAAGGAGATTACTAGTTGTGGCCCACAGTTTCCTCCTTGTGGTCAGACTCTTTACTCTACATCTTTAGACAGAAACACACGGCTGGTTTGTTGACAAGTTTCTCTCTGTGAAGTTTACAGAACTAAATGATGGCGATTGACCCTCCACAGAGATGAAAAACCAGCCAAGACTTAAACAGAGCACTTCTGAAAAAAGCAAACAAAACAAACCCAAAAAACCCCCAAAAAACTTGTGTTTATTCTTTACAAGACTGCTAACAGTTGGTGGGTTTACTAGGAAGCTGTCATAGAGTTATTTCTAACATCTGGCTTGCAATCATAGCTTTACACTGACATTTCAAACCCTTTTATAGGACTATGGCTCCACCAAGAATCAATTAAAATGAAGGGAGGAGTTTAAAATTTTTATTTATATATAAAAAATAAAGTTTCAGCCAAGAAAATAAAGTCTACCTGCAGCTGTTGGACATCACAGAGCTTTTAACATGCACATGGGTCCGGTAAATAACCACTGGTTTTAATTAATCCCACACACGCTCCCCCTAGATGTTAACATCACAAGCATTCCTGCCGCTGTGAGGAATGTGAGCCATTCTGGAAAAACAGAAGAAGTCAAAGCAGAGGTTGGTATGGATACAGGTGTGGGTGGAGGGCAGAGAAATGTAGACTTTCCCTCTTGGAGCGGTTCATTAGTGGGTTTCCTCTAACCCAGCCCATTTCAGAGACAGAGGGAAACAGAACACCAGGAACTTGGGTGATATTCAGGAAAACATAAGAACAGCTTTTCTTGTGGGTTAAACATGAATTTCTGGGTCTGGGTGGGATTACGTTTTAATTTTTAGCTGCTCCAAGGCCGAGCAGAGCCCCTGATGGCGTCTGATTTAGGGGACTTCCAACTATCTGCCACAAAAGTTAAAGTTAAAATCTCCACTTCCTGTGGGGATTACCATAGCCCTTATAAAATTTGACAACTATATTGGCTTTATATGCTGCAAAAGCAAAAATGTAGAAAAATAAAATCTTAAAATAAATCTTCAGGTCAATAGAATGATATGCCATTAAAATAATTTTTGTTTTGCTTAACATAAGAAAAATAGATGCTATGCACTTCAGATAATTGACTTGTTTTGTTTCAAAGGTAACTCCATTGTAAAATTGTTGTATATGCTCAAAACTCAAAGGAAATACCTTTTAAGGAAAAAAAAAAGACCTTTTCTTTTATGCAGCGCAGGTTAATCAGAACTTTAAACAAAGCTATGAGACACTTGAATCAAACTCATTTCATATTACCTGTGATGATTGAGTGTAATTTTTCAAAAATAATAAATTGTTCAACTCTTACATAAATGCTCTGACTTCTAGGGAAAGTCATAGTGGCTGCAAAAGTAAAAAAAAAATCTAACCATATATATATATATATATATATATATATATATATATATATATATATATATATATATATATATATATATATATATATATGGCTCAACAACAAAAACCAAAACAAACAAAACATGATCAGTTTGGGTTTGCATGACTACTCTATTAGAAGCTTTGGTTGGATAACCTGATGGCTGCTTGTCATTTCACCACTTTGTTTATACCCTTGCAGATTCTGTTAAATCTTACCAAATATTTTGAGTTATGAAATGGTGTTTCTCTCATGTGGGACATTGCGTACCTACAGTTTCATCCTGCGATGCAGACACTTTTAATATGCTTTGACAATCTTGGATTCTATTACAATGTCTTAATCTGTCATATTGTTTTAGTTAACCAACCTGAAGAGGGACCAGAATCATAAAAAAAAAACTAGTCATCATTTTCATGAGTGTAGATCATCCCTGACTTTAACCCCTGTCCTTAGGGAGCAGTGGGCTTTCACTATGTGGTGCCAAGGGACCATTCATTTGAACCAAAGAGCCTGCAGACTTCCCAGGGGTCAAGCCCCTGCTCTAAACACCACCACTCCCCCAATACAATGTTTTTATTTATTTATTTGTAAACAAAGTAAGATTTCGAATGAGATTTTTGCATTTCTATAGCTTATCACCATAATAAGAGAAAACACTTGCGATGAAGTAAACTGACCAGGAGCCAAGCTGTCTGGCGGTCCCATTGTAAGTATTGGGGGGGTGTTTCTGAAACAATACTAATTTTGCTGCTTAGAAAATTGACCAATACAGATGCTAACCTAATGTGATTTTAGCACGAATCATACATGCTTCAATTACTTATTGCAAACTGTAGAATATTAGAAAAGGCTTGATTAAGTGATATTGCACTGAAAAAAAAAATTGGGATCAACTTAATCATATTTAGTTACTTTAACACAATTGTTTATGTCCTACCATGTTAACATGAAAAAAAAAATATGTTAAAGTTACTAAATACGATTAAGCAGATACCAAAAGTGGCTGCATACATTTTTTCAGTGTAAAAAAGAACAACAGAATATATATCATAATATTGACAAAAGAGTTACAGAAACTTTAAACAGAAGCAGTGTTTCTACCAGCATAACAATATCAGAGATTTTAGATACAGGGAGATAAAATCCGATATTAGATTTTGGCCAATATCGGACCAATACAGGATATTATCATCGTATTGACATCCCCAGTTTGCTTGCAGGTATCTTGCATAAATATATTCAAACACAGGTGATTTTCAAACATGTATCTCGAGTAAAATCGAATTAAATACATAAAAATTGTAATTCAAACAGATTTCCTAAAAAAAACAGGCAATAGGAGTCAAAAGCCATATATTGGCTGCCAGCCGCGCTTTTATGTGACATGTTTATCAACATGTTTATAAATATACATGTTGATAAACATATTTATAAACATGTTGATAAACATGTCAATAAACATGTATCTGTTTGTCCATATGTACATGTGTACATGTTTATAAACATGTCATATGTATACATGTACACATGGTCAAACAGATACATCTTTATAAACATATATATGTTTATAACCAGGTTTATAAACATATATACGTTTATAAAAATGTATCTGGTTTATAAACCTGGTTATAAACATATATATGTTTACAAACATGTATCTGTTTTTGTCCATATGTACATCTATATGTTTATAAACATGTATGAGTTTGTCCATGTGTACATGTATACATGTGTCATGTATCTAAACAGTGATGTAGGTGAGCTGCGCTTACCTAGAAACAAGCAGAATAGATCCACAGCGACCAGCAGCTTCCTCCCGCTGTGGTCTTTATTGTTGCTCAGTGAACTCTTCGTATCGGCAGCCATGGTCTTCTCATATATCAAACAGCGTTGCATTTAAAAGGTTTTTCTTTAAATAAGAAAGGAAGCGTTTAAGGCTCGTCTCTAGCAGCTTAACATGAGTCAAAAAGGGAACTCATGAAGTTTTTTTCTGTTTTAACTCCTCACTTTTAAACACTGGGTCTATTTTCTCCGGACTTTCTATGATCACAGCTCGTCGTTTTCTTCTCCTCTGTTCTCATCATCCTTTCTGCTCCTTAAGACTGACAGCCTCCTACAAAAGCCGCGCCTCCAGCTCCTCCCCCTCCTCTTTCCCCCCGCCAATTAATACCATATGAACATTCCCCCACGCGGGATCATTCCCACACCATCAGACCAGCAAACGGATGCTGGAGACAGAGGCGTAGCCATAAAAAATGTATGAGGGTGGCCAGGCAATAACCAATGTACTGAGGGGTAGTGGTGTCAAAAGTCCACACATTTGCTACTTAAAGGAATAGTACACTCAAAACATGATTAGCCTTCATTTTCTACTCACCCCCATGCTGAACAACACTCTGGAGTACTTTTTTGATATCTCAAATGCATTTGGAGATCTGGGAGGCTTCTTGCTGTCTGCTGACATTCAAATAATGGAGGACTACGGTGCCCGAGACCGAAAAGGTCCATAAAAGTCCACAAAAAACGTGTCAATATTCCTCATACTGCTCGTCCAATGTATTCCAAGTGTCCTGAGTGGGTAGCGTCCATAATTTACTCGAAACGAAGTCATTTAGAATGTTTTTAGAGCATAAACAGTAGTGTATAGGATTTCCTAAAAGCGCGTTCACGAGCCTACGGAAACCGCGGCAGACCAAACAAGACGAAAGTGCGCATTCAGCTCGGCAAAGAACTCATGCTCTTCCTCAACACTGAAGTCCTCAGACATTTTTCTTTCGTTGTTTCTTTCTTTGCACAGGCAAACAGCAAATTTCTTCTTCTACGCTTGCATTATCGGCAGAGCAGACGCTGAATGCGCACTTTCATCTGGTTTGGTCTGCCGCGGTTTCCGTAGACTCGTGAACGCGCTTTTAGGAAATCCTATACACTACTGTTTATGCTCTAAAACATTCTAAATGACTTCGTTTCGAGTAAATTCTGGATGCTACCCACTCAGGACACTTGGAATACATTGGACGAGCAGTATGGAGGAATATTGAAACGTTTTTTGTGGACTTTTATGGACCTTTCTGCCTCGGGCGCCATAGACCTCCATTATTTGAATGTCAGCAGACAGCAAGAAGCCTCCCAGATCTCCAGATGCATTTGAGATATCAAAAAAGTACTCCAGAGTGTTGTTCAGCAATGGGGGTGAGTAGAAAATGAAGGCTAATCATGTTTTGGGTGTACTATTCCTTTAAGTAGTAGTTTAGATACTGCAGTTTAAAAACACTATGGTAACAGTTGAAGTATCAACTTGACCTCTTTACTCAAGTAAAAGTGAAAAAGTATGTGCTCCAAAAACTACTTAAAGTATAAAAGTAAAAAGTAATTAAGAAAAAAAAAACAGCCAGATGCCACTATGTGAATTGAAAGCTCAATTTTTTGAGTACTTTGAAAAATTCTTTGAGGTAGGGCCAAGGATTGAGGGAGGTCTTGTTGGTCTCCATCTCCCGATTGACCTGTGTCCGACCTTTCAGCAACTTTTTCTGAATCCAACATTGTAGCAAGGCATAGACAATTCACGTTTGCAGTTTAAAGAACACCTGCTTGCTTCTGATTATTTCCTTTGAGGAATAGCTAACCGATGAATGTTTGCGTTATATGACTCAGTTTTCACTAGATGTGGATGGCCGTAATGATCTGCATTTGATGGCGCACATTACGTCAAATAAATATTTATAAACATTAAACCGAAGCCAAGAGTAACGAGTAACATTTTTTTTTTTAATGTAAGGAATAGAAAGTAGAGATACTTGTGTGAAAATGTAATGAGTAGAAGTCAGAAGTAGGAAAAAAAATAAGTAATGGAGTAAAGTATGGATACCTAAAAAGTGTACTTAAGTACAGTAATGAAGTATTTCTACTTCGTTACTTGACACCTCTGCTGAGGGGTGGCCGAAAGTAGATAGGCACCAAAACCTCACAGTCAATCTATGCTGTTCCAAAAGGAAAATTAACATTTTTTCTAGATAAAGACAAACTATACTTTCCCACAGCCTTTGCTAACAAATAGGCAAATATATTAAAACATCCGTGCTTTCTAGATAAAAGGTATAGTGGATAAAATTCTTTTTTAGGTTTGAGCTTTGGGCGAACATCTTTTCCATTGCCATTACTTACCTACTTTTATCAGTAACCTACCTACCTGTCAGTAACCATTTTGCATAAAATTAGTGTTCAAGATTACCAATATCTACATAAAAAGTTATTTCAGTGAAGACTCCTAGATGACTTCCAGAGACACTTTTCTCTTTACTCCATAAAACACTAAATCTATTTCTGCTTGAATTCTGTACTTCTCCTTAATGTTGGTATATTGATGTGCATAATAAGCCACATTGTTTTTGTTGTCAAGTCATTCTTAATATACGAAAAATTAAAATGTTTTGAATATTCCACTTGAGAGTATTACTGTTGCCACCATCTTTATTAGATGGTGGCCATGGCCACCCCCTGCCCCCCAATCTAGCTCTGTCCCTGGCTAGAGAAAACACAGCATCATCATGAGGGGATTTCACAGAGTTTAGTCAGCCAGAGGGTTAAGACAGCCTTTGTGTTTTTGAANTCAACTTGACCTCTTTACTCAAGTAAAAGTGAAAAAGTATGTGCTCCAAAAACTACTTAAAGTATAAAAGTAAAAAGTAATTAAGAAAAAAAAAAAACAGCCAGATGCCACTATGTGAATTGAAAGCTCAATTTTTTTGAGTACTTTGAAAAATTCTTTGAGGTAGGGCCAAGGTAGAGGGAGGTCTTGTTGGTCTCCATCTCCCGATTGACCTGTGTCCGACCTTTCAGCATCTTTCTCTGAATCCAACGTTACAGCATGGCATAGACAATTCACGTTTGCAGTTTAAAGAACACCTGCTTGCTTCTGATTATTTCCTTTGGCGTCATAAATTTGAGGAATATCTAACCGATGACTGTTTGTGTTCCATGACTCATCCAATTACACTAGTTTTAACTAGATGTGGATGGCGCACATGACGGCAAATAAATACTTGTAAACATTAAACTGAAGCCAAGAGTAATGAGTAACGTTTGTTTTAAAATTTAAGGAATAGAAAGTAGAGATACTTGTGTGAAAATGTAATGAGTAGAAGTCAGAAGTGGGAAGAAAAATAAGTAATGGAGTAAAGTATAGATACCTAAAAAGTGTACTTAAGTACAGTAACGAAGTATTTGTACTTTACTTGACACAGGTTTGAGCTTTTTCCATGTCATTACTTACCTACTTTTATCAGTAACCATTCTGCATAAAATCAATATTTAAGATTACTAATATCTGCGTAAAATAGTTATTTCACTGAAGACTCCTAGATGAATTCCAAAACACTTCATTTTCTCTTTACTCCATAAAAAACCAAATGTATTTCTGCTTATATTCTGTACTTCTCTTTAATGTTAGTATATTGATGTGCATAATAAGCCACATTGTTTTTGTTGTCAAGTCATTCTTAATATACGAAAAAAAATTTTTTTTTAATATCCCACTTGAGAGTATTACTGTTGCCACCATCTGTATTAGAGAGAAATAAATGGTAGGGGTGGCCATAGATTGCCCCCCAATCTATCTCTGTCCCTGGCTAGAGAAAACACAGCATCATCATGAGGGGATTTCACAGAGTTTAGTCAGCCAGAGGGTTAAGACAGCCTTTGTGTTTTTGAAGTTCCAGAGGAGGACTGAATACTTACTCCTACTTTGAATTAATGAAACGAAAGAGAAAGCACGTTTTTCCCATAAAAAAAAAACAGTTTCCAAATGAGAAAGAATGTCTTTATTTGATGTAACAAGGAAACAGAAACTGAAAGAAAAATCTCAAACCTTTAACACTTGAAGCAGCTGCAAAAAATAAATACATACATAAAAAAACTGTTTATTTCTACCCACTCCTGTGCAATAACTGTGTTTATCATCAGTTTATTGAATCTAAAGAAAATTAAAAAGTGATGGAAAGTGAGTGAAAACCTCTGGTGAAAATTGCAATTCTGGCAAAGTTAAATCAAAGAGATACCAAAGTTCATTTAATGTTAATTATGGAAAGGCCGTCCTGCAGCTCCCGTAGATCAGGTGGTGTCGGCGTACAGAGGAGGAGGAGGGAGGAACTCCACCTCTGTGAAGTCAATCTGCTGTTCGCTGCAACAGAAAAAAAACCCCAAACAGGATGCATTAGCTTGGATGAAGGATGCTTTAAGTACAGCGAGTAGGCTTCTCTGCTCGGCTAGCACAAACAGTGATCAAAGAGAGCCCAGCTTCTCCCTCTGATTAGACGGAAACAAGACTTACGGGTACGGAGGCTCCTCAACCGCACACAACAAGCCTAGATAAAGACAAGCAGATACACGTCACATCAACTTTGAACTGCTGTCTGGAAAATATGCAAAACCGGCTTGTCTCCGAGTTACTGGAGATAAATACGCCAGTTTGTTTTCCATTACGCCAGAAGTCACCGAGTGGTGTTTAGACTGCAGAGGCCCCCAAGGTGATCTGTGAGTGCCCTTCTTTTAGCTTCCCCATTATCAGTGAGAGAGAGAGAGGCTGTGACGTCAACAGAGTCAGGGTCAACATTAAACTGTCAACTTACTTGACGTGTCCGAACTTTAAACAAGACACAGAGAGAAGAAGCAAACGTTAACAGCAGAAGGAGACACTGCGTACTGTTGGCAGAGCTGTGTAAGAGGAACTGTACTTGATAGAAGCTGCTCCTCCGTCACCAAACTCATCATTGCTTTGTTGAAACAGCAAGGCCAGTTTCTGCAGAGCTTCTTGTCCAGTCCTGTAAAAAGCAGGGACACAGTTCTGAGTTGTATCTTTTTGACCTGCTGGACGGGAGGAACAAATGTGTGCACTGGATCCTCTCCATAACTTTTCAGACCATATTGTACCAAAAGTTAGAACATTTCTATTTAAAAAAAAAAAAAACTCCTATCTTAAAATCTGTTTATTTTTTTTGTTATTTATGCAGGCCAGTTAGTTATACATCAGCTTGTACACCTAAATTCGGCCAATCATATATCAACGGTCATCTGTCAATCACATTTTTTTCAGTCATAGCATCTTCATTCATATGTCGCAGCTAATATACGCAACGGTTGAAATAAGAATCATCTGCTTTACGACTGAATTTCTTCCCACTGTTTACGGGGATGGACGTCTGTGTCTTCTGCAGGTGTAGAGCTAACAGAACTGGCAGCGTTGCGAGGCAAGGGCTCAAACATGTAGAGTTGTAAGCCTTCGACACCAAACCAAGCTTCTGCCGCCCTGGCGTCCTCTTCCACAACAAATTCGTCCCCACTTTCCTACTCTAAATAAAAAATGTATGATGGAGGAGACTCATCCACGACCTCCGACACAGAACTCTCCTCCTCTTGCATGTTTCCACTGTCCATAGTGTTCCTTGACAGTGTCCTTTCTAATTCACCAATTTAGTGCTACTTTGTCCCAATGGAATTTCCCATTGGGAACCTACTAGCACTAAGTTGCTAACTGGTTAGTAAGGTGCTTCCGACAAATCAGCCACAACCAATAAGGCTTTCGAACCTTCCGCCACAACAATCCCACCCCCTTGATAAAAGACCAATCACATTCACTTGTGTAAAGCCGTGCACCACTCGGGAGAATTCGGAAATGCAACGGTTGGAACAGCCGCTTCCCTACGACTTTAAGGCACTGTTTATCTATTGGTTCTTTGATTTTTCTGTTAGAAACAAACAAGCGAAGTCCCCATTTGGGGTTTGTTTTAAAAATACTAAATTTAAAATCGAATGCAAAGCATTTCTCATTTTGGGTGTAGAGGGAAATATAAATTTAAAGTGAGCAAATTGCCTAAAGCTGCAAAACAATCAGTGTAACTGAAGTGTGCTCTTTGTTCATGAAAGGTTTTATTGATCGGCCGCCTTTTAAATACTTGATAATGCTAAAGTGTCTAGATACAGAGAGGAATCTGTAATTATGCAAAAACTTGATTTGGCGGACATGAGATTAGTAGAAGACAGAAACATTAAGAAATCCTGTCAGGAGAAGGAATCAGAATGATATTGGCAATAAAAACATAAGTCCATAAGAAACTGCAGGCCTTTTGTTTTATATTGTATCCTCATGTCCCCCCCCCACGTGCCTTTTGATAACTATGCTGAGAATATGGATAATGGGCCTTGTTTTTCCAGAAATGTCTACAGCCAAAGGTTTAAAATTTTGTCTTAAATCTTCTTTGAGCAGAGCCCCAAACATATCATATCTCTCCCCCATGGCACAAAGGTACCACCAGTAGCCAGCTCTGGTCCAGAAACGTGAACAAACAGCACTTTGTTTATATGTGTTTTTAAATATAATTTCATTTGATTGTGATCTAAACAAAAACAAAAAAAAAAACCATTTTAAAATTTGTTCCTTTAATTTTTGAAACTAGAATATTTGTATTTTAAATTTAATTGTAATATGTTAAAAGAAAGATCCAACATTTCATTTATTTTTTGTTTTTCCAACAGCAGTTTCTTTAAGGAAAATTCAGGTGCAGATTCTTTGTTTCAGCTAATGTCGAGGTGTTCAATGTATCTCCTTTGAGTTTGTGGGTTTCAATTGTCGATTTTTCACCAAGACAAAACTGATTTCAGATGAAATGCATCCTTTATCAGCTTTTCTGGTTCAGATCCAGGATTTGGGGTTAGGGTTGGAACACTTGTTGCCCACTTCACAGCAGATGAGGCTCCAGTCAGTCCATCAATCTTAAACTCCATCCTATCATCGCTTAAGAATGACATACCACCAAGATAATTCTTACTCCTCCACTTGAGGTAAGGGGGTGAGCCCAGCCTGGAGGGAGCCACTCCCTTTTTCCAATTGAAAATCAGGGCCTCAGACTTGGAGGAGCTGACTAATACTTTCCAATTGCCTTTTTACACTCTGCTGCAAACCGCCCCATCACAAATCAAACGTCAAGGTCTGAAGATGCTTTTAGAACCAAATCATCTGCAAACAGTGAAGAGAAGATATGCTGCTAGTTCCAAACCCACCACCTATCTCCTTTCTACAGCGTCTGAGGATGAAGATCATGAACCCCACAAACCACACCTGGGAGAATTTGCAATTGTTTATTTTTAATACATTTCTTAAGTGAGATGTTTCTATGGTATATTTATGTTTATTTTCTAGAGTTAACATTTCAATTATTAGAAAACTAATCTCCCAGCATTCTAGACATCATCTTTTGAACCATGTTCAATTGTTTTTTTAAGAATTAACTATATGTTGTATGGAGTGATTTTTTCCCTTATTGTTGAAAACAAAGAAAATAATTTGTAAATTTTAAGAAAAAAAAAAACTAACCCGAGATAAAAATCGAAAAAAAAAAAAAATGTTTTAAGTAAGTGCTGTTATCTCAGATTTTATTTTTCAAATTATTTTACTTTTTCATTTTTTTTTATTCTTAATTTTTACACTTTTCAGATTTTTTTCTATGTTATAGTTTTTTCCAAAATGCTTTCGTATCAAAATATTTCAAACTCATTTTTTCTTCAAATTTCGTTTCATAGATCACATCCTCTTCACTTCGAGTGGTGGGTTTTCCTCTGGAGCGAGGAGTGAAAACATTTCTATTGGTTTCCATGGATGTTGGTAACAGTGTTGTTTGGTCATTGAGCATCTTTATTGTGCCTGATTTGAAGAGAATTTAAGAAGTTCTGAGTGTGAATAAGAAGTTTTTCTAAGTTTCATTGCTGAATGGCATTTTTTTTCCAAATTTCAATTTACAGAACTCGTTCTTTGCTTGCAAAAATAATAATTAAAAAAACATCACTTCATACAGTTGCTGATGGGTTTAATTTTCTATGTAATTTACAGTATTTTTCCTTCTCAGTTTGACCAAAAGTAGAAATTCCATTTCATTTCAATTTCACCCAGACTGGACAGAGAGTCTGGGACTTCACTTCGTAAGTCCTGTCAAGTATTTAAATTTAGATTCAACTCTTATGTCCTACAGGACTGTGCTGCCACAACCAGCTTTAGTATCAATGCCACTAATATATTTTTAACCTCTTCTAATCAGGACACCTTCTTCCCCATGTTTCCTTTGTCCCCAACATAGCCTGTGGCCATCTTTATCCTTATTTTGCCCTTGCCACTGTTCCACAAAGGCCAGATTAGTGGTGTGCATGACTAGTGATTGTCCTCTCAGTAGATTCTCCTACCTAATCTATGGATATCTGCAGCTGCTCCTTAAACTGCTGTTTCCATGGCTTCACTCTGCCGTTTGGCCTCTGATGTTCTTCACATAACTTCTGTATAACAGAGGTTCTGCTTTGACTAATTAGCTAATGTTTGAAGCCTGTGGAAATGTTCTAGGAGTGTCAGAGTATAGAGGCATTAGGATACATGCCAATACCCTAACTCTTGATAAAAATAATTAAAAATAAGAACGGTGTTTCATTGTTCTTCCACTTCACAATTATTGTCTACTTTTTCTTTGCATTTTACATAAATAGTACAGAACACTAAACTTTAAGTTGTAATACAATCAACATAGAGGTATATTTACTTTTTAAGGCACTGTTTCCTTTCAGGAAGGTGGTCCTGGGTTCAAATCCAGACCTTTGTTCTTCCCCCATAGAGTTTGCATGTTCTCCGCACACATGTGTGGGTTCTCACTGGGTACTCCAGTTTCTTCTTTCCAAAAACATGACTGTTAATATATCTGCTCTCCCTAAATTGTGGTTTCCTGTTGGTGCCTGTCTTCAGCAGTCACAGGGCTGGAGATAGAGACCAGCGTCAACATGACCATATAAGGACCAGTGAGTTTATATGGATGGATCCCTTCTCTAAAGCCTTAACTGTTAACCCGTAAGTTGCATAAAAAGCTTTGCTTTCTCAGCTGTTGCAGGGTGTATTTGGGACTTACTGTGTGTGCTGGTCTTCCAGGTTACTGTCACTGAGGGTATGCTGTCCTTCCACATGAACGCATGCTGATAAAGTCACAACACAAAGGAGACATGTATGAGACAGAGGAAAGAGGTGAGCCATCCAAAGCTAGCAGGACTCAAGCAAAAAGGTGAGTTTAAACTAATCATTAGAAATAATCATACTTGTTAAACTCGTTAAACCCTAAAAATACCTAGGTTGTTAAATGTAATGAATGTTGGACAGTTTTTCCCAACCATGGTACAATGCTCTAAGGTATAAATTCTAATGTTTTAACAGAAGCAAAGATACCTTTGTCAGGATAAAAGTCAACATAATTACTGCATAAAGCCGGGCATACAATATACGATTTTTTCAATCGTTGCACACAGATACCACTCAAAATGTAAAACAAAACCACAGGGTTTTAATGTTCACAGCTAACGATGCCTGTTGTCAACCTGTGAGGCCCGAAGCTCTGATGTGACCTTACGACGGCCGACTGAATTTCAAACGTTTGATTTTCTCCCGACCTTACGATTCCTAATCAGGAGGTGCGTCATGAGAGGCTGATCGGCCCTCTTTACCCCCGTACACTACATGACGCACGATCAGGCTGACGGCCTGATCAAAACATTTTCACACGACTGAAGAATCGGCCCGAAAAGGGCAAAAAAATAAATAAAAAAAATCATACAGTGTACGTGTGGCTTAAAAAACTAGGTTAGAGGCAGTGTTGGAAAGGTTACTTAAAAAAAAAAGTCACTAGTTATAGTAATTTCTCCCAAAAATAACTGAATTAGTAACTCCATTACTGCACAATCAAAGCGCCTAGTTACTAGGCAAAGTGACGTTACTTTTTATGATCTAATACATAAACAGAAAACACCCAAGACTTCGGAGGATACAGCGGTCCTCTCCTTTTTATCTAGACAAAAAGAAGGTTGCATTTGTCGGCCACAAACGAAGCAGTCTTTGCATCCCAACAGGCCCCGCCACCGCACTATGTCGTATCAGCTGACTAATCTGGCCTTCAGAGGACGCAGCCTCTGGATTCAAGCACAATCACTTCAACTGAATGTTCAAACATAACAGAGAGTCTATCCTTTCCTTCAAATAGGAGGACTGGATTTAGTACTTCATTAGAATAACCATATACTTACATATTTCTGGCTCCGAAACTGTCTGCTGAGCAATCCTACAGTAAAAAAGTGGAGAAACGACTATTTGCACATGAAAGACAAAAGGAAAACAAAAATTTGACTATAGGACATCACAAAGGGTTTTATGGGGCTGACTAGCAACAATAAATATCTTACTGGCTTTCATAGGATGCTGAAAGAACTTCATCCTCACAGGCCCACTCCTCGCTGTCATCTGTGACTGCAGAAAAACAAACTGCAGTGATTAAAGTCAGCATGTCTGCTGATGAGAGATGTTTAGCAGCCTTAGCTTGCACCGAATTCCTCCTCAGCAGTAAAATAACACAGCTTTAAAGCAGATGGCGAGCGACTGACTTGATGCTTTGTCCATCAACAAGTGCAAACATTTTCTGGACCATTCCGTGTTTTTTACCAAGTGAATGATTGAAATGTAACAGACAGGTTGAAAAGGACTCACACAGAGGCTTTGGACACTTACAGCTGCTTGTCAGAAGAGGGGGGTTGGAGGATCTGGAAAACAGAAACCAAAAATGTCATGGCTTATTTCACATATGGAGTTTTGATACTATTAATCTTTTTTTTGAAGTACCTGCTTCCGATGCTGATGGTGTCGGGCTCCACATAGGCTCCTCGTCCAGCTGCTTGAGCCTTTTTGCCGAGTTCCAGCATGTCCTTGATATTCAGCTCAACATTCATCACTGAAATATAACCGTCTACGATGTAGAGGGGGGCAACAGATACAGACAATGTGGTAAATTTGGCTTAAATCAAAGAGAAGGAAAGATATTTATGCTACTGTATGGCACAAGCTCATTACCTCAACACATAATGCAAGTGGATTATTAATTCAAAAATAAAATGATTTAACCTACACTTGTTGTTGGAATCCCTGGCCAACCATTTGCCTTTAGGGCAGTTGGTGGTTCGGATGATGCTGACCGTGTCCCCGCTTTTCACCGGCAGGTCGTTCTTCCGGACTTTACTGGCCCCGGTGACCTTAGCGTGGTACATCGCCTCCTCCTGCCCGGTCACCTTCACAGACGGCAAGGAAATAAAATATATCACCGCTTAGAGTTTTAAATAAATCTATATTCATCCAGATGTTCAAAGTTGTTTTGTTTTTTTATTCAAATAAAGGTTTCAAACAAGTTATCCAGAATTGTATTCCTTACTTTGAACTTTTTTTTCATTTCATTTTCTTTCTTCTCCCTCTCTTTTTGCTCCTTTCTCTCCTTTTCAAGTCGCTGTTTCTCCCTCTTCCTCTGGTCTTTATGATCTGCAGTGTTGGGGCTCGTGTTTTGCCTAAAAAAAAAAAAAAAGTGTCATACTCTTTAATAACAAAAACACATGACAACAGGTGGGATGGGCGAGCTGCAGTTCTCAAGATCGCTTTCCAACGTCCTGTGTTGAATAAAATGTCTGGGAAACATTAAAAAAAAAAGCTATCGACTTATAAATAAGATTAGATGAACCCAAAAATTAAAAAAAAAAAAAATCAAGCGTACACATACCATGGATGCCGTGGTCGTTTGTGAAGACATGCTTCCCCCTTCTGGAAACGAGCACAGGAGTTAACATGCATGTAGCCCCCACATCCTGAAAACATTCCCATCAGAACATTTTCCATATATGGCATCAGAGCAACATAACTCATAACTTATGAATTTTATACGCTTTTACACAAGCAATACAAAAGTGTGAAAGAAAAAAAAAATCATGTAATAGAACTCCAATTAAAACGGTTGCATTCAAACAAACAGTAAATATAAACAATGCTGGTATGTCTCAGGTTTATGAAAAAGCAAATATGGAGATGCACTGAAAAGGGAGGAACTTTCTGCAGAAAAACAAGTAATCATGCTCTTGAAAAAGCGGACATTTGCTGGAAAGAGGTTAAGAACAGCCGTTAGATGACATCTCCTTGATAATTCGCCACCATGTTTGAAGGGGAAACAGCAAATGTTTGAAAAAATATGCTGCAATAAGAAAAAATTCTAAAATTGACACTACACATCAGCATCCATCCAACAGTGTTAGGATCATGCAGCAGGGAACGTTTTCGGGGAAAAAGTTGGAGACGATGGGAAGATGGATGGAGCTAAATACAAGGCAGGTAGATCTGAACTACTTTACAGACTATTGGGACAGGAGTAATATTGATACATAGCACATTTGCACCATACACTTGTTTTGTACTTTTCCATCTTTCGTTCCTCCACTTTGTGAGCTTTAGCATTTAGGCTCTCTGTCATATATCTGGATGGAGGCTCTGCTGCTGTGAGATTCTGCCCACCAGGCTAAATAGTTCACTTGCATGGAAAACAAAAAATCATAACATTTTGAATATATTAACCACCAGTTATTGCAGTTCAAATCCTCATATGCGATATAAAAATTGCACCCGAATTAAGAAGCTAATATATTTTAGATACATTGTACAGCATTATAACAGGTTGTGTGAGTGATGCCTGTTTAAAGCTAAAATTGATTTAAACTGGAAGGGAGATTCACAAAAGATAATCGAGCAGATTTCTGCCCAGATTTTCTCTTTCCTGGAGGTTGGAAGATCAACAGGGCAACATATTGATTGCCTAGATTCGTTATTCTTTGTGGCGCCATGATTTCAATGCAGTATAGGCTGCATACTTAAAAAAAAAAAAAAAAAAAACATCTCATCATACTTAAAGAATTTGCTCATTAAAATGTTGACCTGATAATTAACTTTTTTACCCATACACAAGTAAAATAATGATTTTCTACCTCTTGCGTAACGTTTACTGTGGGACTCTAATCTGTACACAGACCCTTCAGCAGCAAAAACAGTAAAAACTTTGAAATCGCATACATAGATGTATGCATCTCTAGATGTTTGGTGAGATTTCCTGCCTGATAGGTATATGTTCTGAGTGCCTGTGGTGGGATTTGTTTGAACACTCTGTACGACCAAAACTGCTCTATCCCCATTTTTTTTTTATGATCAACTGTGGTGTCTAAAAATAGTCATCTGATAATTATAAAATGTTGCAGTGTGGTCCATTCTTCAGCCTCCCTGAGAAACTTTTAACACCATCAAAATGAATAAATCCATTTCTCAGACATCCACTTCTTTCTGTTGGTTTTTCACACAATCTCTCTTATTTATTCACAAATATGTAGTTTTGATTAGATACAAAATAGAGATCGTTAAGGTATGAATAACCTCACTGATGCAATTCAAATGTATCCAATTGCATCATTATTTTACATTAATAAAAGGTCAAGATAGCTTACCTTTGAGTTCCTGTTAGCATATGGATCTGGATGAAAGGAGATAATTAAATTACACCAATGCTGACACAGCTTTTAATGTTAAAGAAAAAAAAAAGACAAACTTAACTCTTCAGTCTGCTTTTTTGTTTCGCCGATATCTGGCTTTCAAGGAGCTTCTTGATCTCAACATCTTCATAAAGGTTATCACACGTTTCATAGTAGCTGTTCTGGTGAGGTTTGCTAGAAAACAAACGATCCAGATGTGTGAATAATAACCTGCAGCTGCGTATGAACATGAACCATCTGTTCCAGGTTCCTACAGTACCTTGGTTGGGTTTGAGTTTCATACCCTGATGCTGGATGGTCTGCAAGCTCAGGTTCTTCTTGGATAGACAGTTTCTCAACAACAGAATTGAGATACGCATCTACAGCTGCCTCTTCGCTGTAGGACGGGGGCTCTGGTAGAGGCAGCTCTGGAAACTCTGGTAGGTTTACTGGTTCAGGAAAGCTTGCTGGATCAAGGGGTATTATGTGTGGGCTGCCAAGGTTTAGATCTTGGTCCACATTGCTCCTATTGGTCTCTACTGGCTCCCAAACTGACGAGGCACAGTCTGGAGCCACATAATCTGGAACCTCAAATCTGAGGGGTGTTGTAAGATTACCAACAACTATGTTTAAGGCTTCAATTTCTAATGCAGCCACGTCAACGGGTTCGCCCTCTGGTGTTTCCAACTCTGAAGTCTCAAAGTCTGGAAAATCCGGAGCATCCAGCACAGAGAATTCCTCCTTGTTTGGTGTTTGGCACCAAACAGGTGATACTTCTAGAAAAAAAAAGGGAAATTAAAAGAAATTTATTTAGCTAAATGAAGACTTTTTAGATCCACAGAGGTTAGGACAAGGCTTAGAGTGAGGTAAAGAAGACTACACTGGCTCTGAAGTCAAATACAGCAGGTTTTACCTTTAAATTGGCCTGGATGGTAAGAGCTCAGATCAACTGTTGGAGGTCTGGTTGGCTTTACTGGAGCGGCTCCAAGTGTCCACATCTCAGGTAGCTGCTTCTTTAAGGGAATCTGGGGGGAACAAGCTCCAACAGACCTCAGTGGCAGTTGTTCGGCTTTCACTACAAGAAGTTTCTCTAAAGTTGGCTCTTTGGAAGAAGAAAAACATACATGGCAAGTTATTCAAAAACCCACATCAAATTTAAAAAATCAGAATGAAATATTTCATATGAATAACATACTACGAGCGGAGTTGTTTGCTTTGAAGAAAGGTCGAGCGGAAATATAGGCAAAGTGTGGAAGGCACACGGGTGGAGCTAGGAGGACATCTGAACCGACGCCGTCGGGATTCCTTGGAGACAAAGGGAAGGTCTTCCCTCTACAGCTGTAGTCAGGTGAGGGCAAACTTTTGGGTTTAGAGGGAATCATAATCTGACGCCTCGAAAGCTTTTTTTTGGCCTTCTCCAGTGTGCTCAGAATCCTGTTTTCAGAGTCAGGGTAGGTTGCTGGTGGAGGAGAGGTGACGGCGGATTCAGGACTGTAATCAGAGGGATCACTTTGGAGGGAACCCTGTTCTTCGGTGATCCGTTTTTCCTTCGTGCACAATTCACCGGTAGCACTACTGGGCCTGTAGCTTAAATCATCATATGTGGGCTCATCTCCATTATCGGCTGAGTGCTTGGATGCCTTGGCTGATTTGAAAGGAAGCAACAAACCCTTTTTCTTGATCTTAGCATGTGGGAAAACTCCTCTTTCTGTCTCTGATTCCAGTTTGTGCTCCTTTCCAGCAGGTGGATCCACCTTATGGTCTTTAACAGGGAGGACGGGGAGCATAGGAGGCATGTGTCGGTCTTTGAAGGAATGCTTCGATGAGTTTTCTCCATTTGCAAGCTGTGATGAAGGAGATGTCGGCCTAGGGTGAGGTGGAAAGGGAATGGGCCGCCTGCCTCCGGATGACCAATGCCCATCCCTGGAGAGGACACGGGGAACCTCAGGAGTCTGGTTTTCCACAGCCATGGCAGTACCGCTGACCACTGAGCTGGAGTGTCCTAAATGCGGTTGAAGGAGTTTGGGTTTTTCAGCAACTGCTGGTCGACCGTTCTTTGAATGAGCCAAGAAACCCTCCTCCTGAAATTTTGCCCTTATTGCTTTGAAGTTAATTTGACCTTCCTTTCAAAAAAAAAAAGGAAAAGAAAAAAAGGGGGAAAAAAGGGAAATAGTTAGGAAAGAGATTATTGACATTTTGTTCTAGTTTGGCTGATGTTGAATTATTAAAGCCATACTTGTAACTTACCACACTGTGAAAATACAAAAAACAAACAAAAAAATTTGCTTTTTTGTGTAGATAATATATTTTGCTCCGTAAAATTGAAAAACTAAGGGTTAACCGTAGGAAAACTTATTTAAGACAGTTCAGAAAACCAACATAGTTGTGGTTTTTGAAATTAATGATTAAGTTCCCAGTTTATAGACCTTTAAGTTGTAGGTTATTTCAACAGGTAAAAGTTCTGCTCTTTTCGATGTTTTTTTTTTTTTGTTTTTTTTTGTGAAATGCAGGAAAATTTACTTTTGGATTTTATAATAACAGAAATTGTTGTTAAAAGAGAGTCTGACAAAAAAACAAAACAAAAAAAAAAACATTGTACCTTCTACCCCAATTAGAAGAAAGCTTCTTATTGATCACTAAAGTCTAGACTCTCTCTAGAGTCTAAAGTCAAAGGAGCTGGCCTTTTGTTTAGAGAGGAGAGCGTTGCTTCTTTGAGCTACTGCAAAGGTTGGCGGTTTGAAACTAAAATTTTCCCTGTCCCGAAAAAAAAAAAGGGTAGCTAAAACTACAGATAACAAATTTAAATAAGAAATAAGAGTTAATAAGCTCTAGATAAGAAGCATGATTCTTAAGTGAAAACTTTATGATTTGTAGTTTATGACATTTTCTACGTTACTTACATAAAGTTGGAAAATTCAGGATTCTAAGTTACCACAGCATAGAATTTAAGCTTTAGAGAAAACCTCCAAAAGTTGACGAGCTAAAATAAAAATCTTACAGAAGTTTTTTCACTTAAACAGTTTAGTCCCATTTAAAACATTTTAGAGACGTTTTAAATGTTCAGACACAAAAAAATATAGCTGGAGGTTGAATAAACATTTATTTGTTTCTTTGTTTCTTAAAATCTGTAGAAAAAATATTTTATACATTTTCCCATATTTAAATATTTTATCATTGAGTTTTGAAATGAGTTCTGAAATTAGTGACAACATGGATGCATCAATATTGCTGTTATTTTGTTGTTTATTTTGCATTTTAAAATGAGGAAAAGCACAAACAAATCTTACACTTAATGCCAGATTTTTAAAAAGCCATTTTAAATAGGATAATCATTTAACCTATGATAAAAAAAACTATAAAATAAAAATTTTTACATAAAAGCACACTTCCCATATTACCACATGAAATGTGGACAAATCTATACAATAGTAGCACTATAAATTTCAATACTAAAATAAAGGAAATTTATATTTTTGCTTAAAGATTAATGTTAAATCAGATCTGCATTTTCAGTTGGACATTTTTGGCCACTGAGAACTATATTATATATATATATATATATATATATATATATATATATATATATATACTCACTATATTTAGCTACTTTAAAAAGAATCATTAATACAAACAGTGTGTGAAAAATGCATCCATTATTGTTTTAGAACATTAGTAACCAAACTATTATAATTGTATGGGATTCTCAGTATTAGTTAAACTCAATTAGCACAGGTTAATACAGAAGAGGCTTAGGGCCACTGAATAAAAAAAGTTAACAGATTTTTAAATATTTCAGTTTAATGTGGGAAAAAGGTCAGAATTCAGAAAAAAAAGTCAGAATCAGAGTTTTTTTCCCCCTCATATTATGCTGAAAAAAACCCTTAAAAATCAGTTAACTTTTTTTTTTTTTTCCAGTGGCCCTAATCCTCTTACGTAGATTAGGCAGGTTAATTGTGGTTTTGATATCCCAGAAATGATACCAAAATCTATATTTTTTTTCTTACAGCTTTCGGATTTACCTCTTCCATGCTTGTGGGCTTTATTCATCGCCGACCAGAGCTCCTGGAAAACAGGTTATTGTTTGAAAACACTTGGAAACATCAATGCAGTGAACAGCTTTCAGTAGCTGAAACAAATCTCTCCAAACTCACCGTCAAACTCCGACACACCTGCGTAAGAGGCGCGCCCTGTGCGCGCGCTTCCGCTGACGCAGCCAGCAAATCAGAAGAGTCCTTATGGCGGTACATTTACCTGCATTTCACCTTTTCCCGACCCTCAAAAAGTTAAGAAATATTAATATACCTTTCTGATGGGTATACTTGGTAACAACTCAGTGTACTGGTACTAATAAATGGCTTTTAGAAATAGACAAAGTGGTAATACATCGCACCTAAAGAAGGAAAATCAAATCAAACCTATTATAAACAAAATGCTTAAATAAAAAAGTTTAATGATTATATTGGAATGATTTCGAGAAAGAAAAAAAAACAACAAATTTATCTCTAATTTTATCGACTGTAGAAATGTATAATGTCAAAGAGATCAGTAATAAATTAAAATTAATTAAAAAGGTTCATAAAAAGTTTTAATTTCCGCTTTATATCCAAGGTAACAGGACCATTTTTAATTTAACTAAGTGCGAAGGAACAGGTCCCTATGCTGACTGGAAAAAGACAGATTTAAAAGTGTTTTCCTGGTTTGGATAAATATTCTCATAAAAGCAAAGCTGTTTTATTTCTCCCATTCTCTACGTCATAAAATAAACTAGTGTGGTATTTCAAAATCTGGTTCCAAAAAGCTGCAACAGCAACATGCAAAAAATTATCAGTGTTGCAAAATAACAAAAGCAAAACAACAACAAATAACAAAAAAAGTCATTGATTCTACAACAAAGTTAGTGGAAACCAGGTTAAAAACTGTTTAAAAAACATTATTTAGTTCATAAAAGTAGGAATATCTAACTATATCCAAAAAAAAAACAAAAAACATTTAGCAACACACTTGGCCTTATTATGTTACAGTTTTTCCTTAATATTTCACTTGTTCCTTAAAACGTGCTTCTTATCTTTCTGACTGCAAATTCACTATGTGAAATCAGAGATCTGATGGCCATCTTCATTGTTAAGGTGCAGTAAAGAACTTTTCTGATGCATTTTTTACCATGTGGCTTGAAGCTCTCCCCACAGCCGCATAGCAAGCAGCGAAATAGAAGGTCTGGAAATGAAACTAAAATGAATGGTCCCCGCTACAGTGTGGAACATCCACCAATCAAAAAACACTGTCCGTTGTACACTATTGGTTCCTGACACATCGATCAGGGTCATCTGCTTGTTCCTCCCACCGTGCGCGTACCCTGACAATGCCGTACCAGGACGGCATTGCTGGAAGCTAGCCACTGTTATGCTACGTTCACACCAAAAGCAGCAAGAGCAGCAAAAACTTGCGTGCTGTTTAATTTTTTTATGCTTGTACAAGTTAAGTTCTGATGCGCGGCTGAAGCATCTTTGCTCCTCTGGCTGTGATGTGGAAAAGTGGGTGTGATGCGTGTTGGGCGGAGGTATTCTATCCTTTCTTAGCCTGTAACAATGGCAGCTATATTTGCTGTGATCAGTGGCTAAAAAGTAGTTTGAATCTATTTTGAAGTGAGAAAGTCCACCTGAAAACATCGTCAGTCCAGTCAGTTCATCCAGATTAAAATATTCAAATATTATTTCAGTCGGAGAAGCTCAGAGCCCCGTACAATGGTGGCCTCTTTGCGGTTTGCTGCGGCGGCTCGAAGGCGTTTTTCATGTATGTAATCCAAACTGCAGGCACCAGGATAATAAAAGTGAACAAGTTAATTTAAGTGTTAATAAACTGTCTCAGAAGAGTGATCATAGCGCTCTGGATCATTAGTGCTGTGCCAGTCTCCCTGCCAGCTCCCAGATCAGCGACGCACTACTTCAGCTGCTCAGACATGCTGCAAGACCTTTTGTGTCAACCATTGACTTCTCATGTACACTAGCTGCTTTTGCTGCCTCTGCTGCTTTAGGTGTGAACATAGCATTATGTTGTTGTTAGCTCACGTCACGAGCACTCGGTCTTGGCTTGTTTCGTTCTCGATCTCATCTGAACACCTCGACAGACAGCATGCGTGTTCATGTGTTTGAAGACGTGGTTTCGAGGGGTGGTCTGAATGGAGAAGCATGGTTGTGTATGTTAAAAAATATAGCTTGCTGGACCCGTTTTTCCAAGATTTACTACGGCACTTTTAATGCAATTCACTGTCACTCCTCTCAGTCTTACTTCTGGCAAAGAAAATCTTAAATGGTTCTTTATTAATTTCTGTTTGGAAAAAGAAAAGAAAAGAATTTTTTTTTTTTTATTTAGTTATTTTTTGCTTTGGGCCCCCCCCCATTTGCCATAATCAGCCACTTCCACATTGCCTTAGACCAGCCCTGGCTTTAAGGATGTTTCATCTCCACCCACACTGCTTCCTCTATCAATCTAGATACTAGAAGCATTTAAAAGACATCTAAAAAATGGAGAGGACCATTTCTATATTAAAGTTACAAGAAAAACAAAAATTAAGAGCGCTTCAAATCTGGTAAAATGTCTAGATGTCCTGAACAAAAGACCCCAAATCATCCAAACTAAATGTAGATTCACTGTATATATGAAAGCTAAACGTAACAGAGCCATTGAGAAGATATTTTATTATTTTCTGTTATTAGAATAAGGCACACCTCACAACCCAACACTGAGGCTCTGTTTAAGAAAGATCAGAGCAGACTCTTCCTGCCGAGGAGACTGAGGTCTTTTTTAGTCCACGGTGCGCTCCTAAAGACAGTCTATGTCTCTGTTGTGGCATCAGCCATCTTCTATGGAGCTGTCTGTGAAGCAGTGGCTTATCTGTGGCTGAGAGAAAGCGGCTGGATAAGCCTGTCAGGATGGCCAGCTCTGTGATTGGATGCCCTATGAACTCAGTGCAGGAGGTGGGAAACAAAAGGATCCTAACTAAATTAACATCTCTGCTGGATAATGTATCCAACCTCATGCATGAAGCCGTTGCAGAACTGTCACTCCTTCAGTGACAGACTGCTGCACCCTAAATGCACCAGGGAGCGTTATCACTGATCCTTCCTCCCAGCAGCTGGAAGACTCTATAACCACCACTGTTCCAAACAACCTTAATATGTTTTTACATTCATGCTGATTTTGCACAATTTCTACCTTAGTCAGTTAAATAACCTGCTGCTGTCATTTTGCACATCTCTGATGTTGCTGCTATTTTCAAATATCAATTAATGTAAAAATTTCCATAACTGTATATTGGTTGTTTGTTCTCCAGGTGCACAGTTTTTTATATTGTTAAAACACTTTACAGTGCAGGATTTTATTTGTTTATTTTTTTTTAACTCTTCACTATTATGTTTTTCTCATACATTTTTCAAATGCCACATTTGTGTGACGATTTTTTTAACAATCTTTTTGCTGCTGTAAACACCAGAAATTCCCCATTGTGGGACAATAAAGGGATTTTCTTTTCTAATATATTCTATTCTATTCTATCTTGTTACAAAGTTTCAGGTAAAGACAAAATCAGTGCAACATGGCACTATAACAACATTTTTTTTTTTTGCAGCTGCTGCTGCTTTTTAATGTCAAAAGTAACCACTGCTGGTGCTAACTATCTTATTTTGGTTAAAGATAATCAAAAATGTTTGAGAACAAAACACCTCTGTTGTTTCAGATTGAGACATGGGGGAGCACAGGTCATGAAAAAAGCTTTCCCAGTTTTTGTAAGAGTGTTTACTCTTGATCAATTATTTACTTTTGTTTGCTCTGACAGCAGCGGTAGAAGTCCTGTCAGGATCCCTATATTCACTTTGAGATGTGATATATCTAAGGTTTCCGCTTATTTTACAAAATGGGGGCATTGAATTATTTGATACTGGCTTTATGTGTGCTGCATCTGTTCGTGAACATTAACCCAACTGTGAACGCATCCAGGAAGCCTTGGAGAGCTGCTAACAGGTGTAGTATTTTTTACTTCTTTCGCTCAGATTTTTAGTTTCATGCATCTAAAGTCGAAGTATTTTATTTGAAACTGACCAAAAGTGTTATTTGATCATTTTTAGGAGGGCCAGAGCTACGAACAGACTAGCACCCATCGACTGCAAAGCGGGGAGCTGGTCATCTTGGACACAATGTGACTCCTGCACGGATAAAAAGGTGAAGATGTTTTTCTCTTTAACACTAAAGCTAAGACTTTTCTAGTTTTTTAGATGGATGTAACACTGCTCTAATAAGATCGTCAATATGTTCAAAGAAAGCACTACATCAGCACTATAGACCAGTGTTTGGCAAACCTTTTTAGACTTGTGTAACCCTCTTAGCATTTTATCTTCCCCTGACTACCCCTCTCAGTAAAAAGTATTGATTGTCCAAAAGTGGAACGTACAATAACTGATTATGAAATAAAACCTATTTTACTTAATCTTATAATTTGAGCATTTAATTCTTATAATTTTTCCATCTAAAAAAAAAACCTATAGTATGTTGCATAATAAATATTAAAATCATAATATTAACCTGTATTTATAAAACCGGAGCTCCTGTGAGCAACTTCCTTATAAATGCATTCAAACTTGATGAATTGGTAACAAAATGAAGAGAAAAATCATTGCCAGATAAACTTAATTAGTTTTATTTTCTTTCATCAAAACACCTGAGCTGCTTTGATGAACTGCAATAGCTCAGTGTAAAAAATAGCTGTTACCAGGATGTTCTCTACATCCAGGATGTTCCTCTGCTTGGTTTTGATGTGTGCCACAGCTGAAGGTAAACTAAAAAAAACAAACTTGTTGATAAAAGCTTGTTTAATTTTTCAATAAACAAAGCAGAACAGATCCATTTTATTTTACTACATAAGAAAAAATTTCATGTACCCGATGCAATACCCTCGCGGAACACTAGGGGTACGCATACCCCCAGTTGGGAAACATTGCTGTAGACAGGTCATTGAAGGGAGGCATGGGGGGAAGTATGCACCTATCAGCCTCCACCACAAAAGGCTGCTATGACCTTTAGCCTTTTACATGTATGTTCAGTATGAAATGCAAAAGAATACTTGTGTATATTATATAGGATGGATCACTGATGGCACCAATAATTTGTATCCTACCACAATAATTCTTTTTAAATGTACTCAACCAAGCATTTTTATTCTCTCAAAGTTTCTTGGACCCCCTAATTTTTAAGATACGGTCCATTTTCTTCTTTTTAGTAAAATAAGGCATGACATAAAGCCAGATTTTTGGGGGATGCATGATATTTTTAAGTACCACCATGCACAGTGAGGATGTAAAGCTAAACCATGTGGAGAGAGAGCTGTGGCATCTTTGGGTTAATATATGTACTTTGCTAACTGGAACAGTGTGGTTTGGTTAGATAAGACCAACATATGAAGCTAGAGATATCCTATGTAGTTGTGAAATAAGGTGGAGGGTCTGTGATGATGTCAGCCTGCTTCTTTCCTAAAGCCTAGTATAGGTTTATTTTAAACTATACATATTATAGATTTTTGTCTGGAAAATTAAAAGTATTAATTTCCTGGTCTTTCTGTAGAATAATGAACCCAGAGCTACAGACAAATTAATAAGGAAATAGATTTGTTGGAGATCAAGCTATTTTTTATAGTCATCTAAGTCCTCAAATGCTAGACTCTATTGAGAACCTGTGAGGTGTGCTGAAGAGAAAAGCCTGTTAATCAGGGGATATGGATGATTTAGAGGGGGTTTGCTTAAAAGCAAAAAGCAATTGATACTGTAAAATGAAAACCCCAAATGAGGTCATAAAATTATTAGCAGCAGGTGGTGCCAACAATTGAGAGGACTGTAACTTTCCTTTAAAGCTACATTGTGTAATAATTATGGGGATCTCATACCAGAAATGTCATATTCTATACATGAACATGTTATTTATTGTCATATATGAACTAAAAGTGTCAATTTTTACATTTGTTTTACCGAGTGGGTCTCACATTTAGACAGACATCTTTTGACTTAAGGCAGTGCATAGCTGAAATACTAGTGACTGTAGAGATCACCATTATGCTCAAATGTGACTGTGGCAAGTAAAGATGATTAAACGGAGACAGTCAGAAGTGTCTAAAGCAACAACGTTATACGAGGCTGTTACCCTCCAGAATTTATACTTATTCAACAACTTCCCTGATGTCTTACAGGTGATGAGGAATGATGTTACTCAGAGACTACTGAAAGTAGTGACAACAGCAACTTTACTACATGTAGCGCTCAGGGCTGTAAAAAAATTTTTCAATTAGGATTACTTATATCACACAGACCATGTAGGTATACAACAAAATAAAACTCTTATACTTCAAATCTTGCCTCCTTGACTCCAGTCATCCCGCTTGCACCTCTCCCTCACCTGACCCTGGCTTTTCACACACAATGGCCTCTTTGCCCCCTTCCTCTCCCTTTTCCTCATCTAATAACCCCCTTGCCGCAAGACATTGATTCTATAACCAGGAAGTATATATCCTTCCAACCAGAGCAGTCTCGATATCAAACTTAATGACTATAATTACTTAGTCTCTTTAAAGCACTATGCTAAGCAGCTCACTAAAACATGGCTACAATGTGGAAAAAAATAACATGTATATTTGATATCATAGGGTTTATATAAAATCTATATCCTACACAGGCTGATAAAATACTATTTATGATTTAGACATATAGACAGTCATTTTGTACCATGAAGGCCTCTGTATGGTTGAATGGGGAGCTGGTCATGTCGCTGCAGTTTACAGTTTGACCATTAGATGTTGCTAAAAATCATGCACTCTTCCTTTAAAAATGCATTACTGCTTTTTTCCTCTGGATAAATGTCTCCAAAGGTATGTGTTTCTTTACTTTTTTGTGGTTAAGGTAATGTGACTTCTATAAACAGTAATTTATTCTCTTGATCTCTCTACATCATGCAAACTACTGTATTCTACCCCCATTGATCCTTGCAGTGATGTAGTACATCGTATTTGTAATATGTAGTTGAATTTGACAAAGATCTTTGTTTTGCTTTAGTCCCGTTTCCGACTGTTGGAGAAACCTGCACAGTTTGGTGGGACAGACTGTATTGGGATGCTGTGGGAACAGCTGGTGTGTCCAAGGGCAACTACACAGTGTATGGTCAAGGATTACTGCGGAGAGAGTTTTACCTGCAAAGAAACAGGCAGGTCAAGCCAAAGGTCCTTAGTGAGAGATTCTTTAAAGAAAGGAATAATTGTTTGAAAGGGAACCTTTATTTGTTGTTTTAAGGTCGCTGCATCAGCCAGTCTCTTCGCTGCAATGGTGAACCAGACTGCGACGACTTCTCTGACGAAGAACAATGTGAGCGTATCAACCAAAGACTAGACAAGTGCTCAACCCTGATGCCAATTCCTGGTGCTGAACGTAGCACACAGGGGTAAAAATAGACTGTTACTACGACTGATATAACTCAACATAACAATGAAAATAACATTTTATAACTTCTGCTTCTGTAAAGGTATAACGTCCTAACTAGAGACTTCATGGATCCTGTGCTCGACCCAAAGTACTTTGGAGGAAGGTGTGAATATGTCTATAATGGAGATTGGAGCAAATTAATATATGATGCATTGTGTGAGAGCCTGCAGTACAATGAAGATGAGAAGAACTACCGGAAACCTTATAACTACCATACTTACCGTTTTGTGGTAGGTATGGTCACTATTGGTTTACCCAGAGTGGGTTATTTTTCAAGAAAAACAGTTTTTCTAACTATAGGAGAACCTTTTATAGGCCGAAGCCACATCAAAGGGCTCTGATGAATATCATGAGGATCTACAAAGCCTGCTGAAAGCGAGGGAGACCATGTCGTCCGTCAACAGTGGTGTATCTGTTGGGATCGCTTTTGTGGAAGTTGGACTCAGTGGCAGCAAAGAATCTGAGTTCCTCAACAACATCACAAAATATCAAAGTCAGGTATGATGTAAATACCAATCAGCAAGAAAGGATTAAATATCTAAATAAAACACCATTGTTGAAGTCACAGAAGCGACATCTATACATGCTTTTTAAAATTGTCTGCAGAACAGGCATGCTATAGACATGTTTACTGATTTCATAGGGCAAAACTTTCTAGGAGGGCCTCTTTGTGTTTGTACTTGTCTTTTTCGTCCTTATCCTGGACTATGCCCGTGTGAACAGTAGACTGAGTAGAGATGTCCTCAAACTTCCCTTTCTCTATAAACCTCCTCTACCTTTTTTTGGTGAAGCCAAAAGGGCTGGTTATACTCCCACAGCAATGTGTCGCAGTGAGCTTGTCACAGATATTTTTGATCTATGCCCAATTTTGAAGCGCGGTCTGCGCTATGTTAATCCACACCACAACGCAAGAGGGACAATCACGAACTAGCTCTGGGTCTAGATATGGCCGAGACGGTAAGGAAGTGAAAAAACACAAGGGGCAAGTTTGTGCGACAATTGAGGGACATGAGGGTGAAAAAGAGCAGGGATTCAGGTGGGAAAAGGGCCCTAGCGCCCTTGCGCACCTCGTTCTTCTAGCAGGTCCATCTTCACAAATCATTTTCCACAATGGCAGTCATACAAACAAAAGCCGGTAAGGTACCAAACAAGAAATACGCATAGTTTAAAGCAGATGTAGATTTGACCAATCAGAGGCGTACTGTCTGTGGCACTGTCTGCGGTCACCTACAATTTTAGAGAGGTACACCAGAGTGTCTGCAACAGGGGCGGGGCAGGGCCATAAACCAGCCTTAAGTCATTCCAGGGCCAGTCGAGACACATAGCCAGTATGTTCCTGAGCCATCCCCTCGGCCTATGATTCGTGGGACGTGCTTCAGAGCAGATCTTGGGTATAGTATCCAGGTGGCCAGCTCAGCTCAATCCTTTTTATGTGGAGGAGAAGAGGCTCCACATCAAGCCTCTCCTTATCTTATCTCAGAGGGAGTGTTTGGCCATTTTGCAGACAAACCTAATTTCAAGGAATATTATAATACATATCAGTATTGGGATTTCCTTCACTAATCACTAAACCATCACTTTTTGACTGATTGTCAATGCTTGCACTGGATTTTATTTAGGCATTCAGACTAAAGACAAGCAGAATCTCATCTGTAACATGAAATGAATAATATGGAAGACTTGGTTGTAAAGTTTGAAAATGTTAGTAGTGAGAAATACTTAAGTAAAGTGCTGCACTTATTTCCTGGTGAAACAGTGGTTGTTCTATTTTGTGTTCAGGACTTTGGCTTCATTAGACTTTGGTCCAAAGTGCAAACTGCCCACTTCAAAATGCGAAGCAACCAGTTGATGCTTCACGAAGATTTATATGTTGCACTCATGGAGCTACCTGAGCAGTATGACTTTGGCACTTACACCCGCTTCCTGAACACCTTTGGCACCCACTACGTCACAGAGGGAACCATGGGAGGAACTCTGGAATATGTTGCTGTTCTAAACAAAAGAGCTATGGCCGAGTCAAGTAAGGCAACTTTGGCTGCTTTGAATTATGAAGAAATTAAAAGTAAACCGTTTCATCTTCTTTTTCAACTCTTTCAGATATCGATGCAAAAACATTTCAGAAATGCTTCGGTGTTTCTCTTGGCATAACTATTCCAGCCAGTGAAAATAGCAAATTCAGTTTTAAGGTAAAGATAAATGACTGTGAAAAGGACAAGAATATTTATAAAGGTAGATATTACAATTCCAGGTTGGTAAACTGTTTTCTATCTTAAAGTAGCTCTGAATATTATGTCTGATCCTTTATTCTCAGTAAGATTTTAAAATAGAACAATTTGATTTTAAGAGGTTACTTGTTTGACAGAGCTTAAAGGTATTGTGTTTTTTCTTGTAGCAAACTCCTCTGAATCTGCTGTGGTTGAGGACATTATCACTCTGGTAAAAGGGGGGGTCACTGAAACTGGTTCAGGACTCCTGGCCATCAGGAACCAGGAAACATACAGAAAGTGGGGAGCATCTCTCAAATACAACCCAGCTTTGATTGACTTTGAGGTAACATTGAACAATTTCAAATCATGTTCCCCAACATGTTTTTACACATATAATCAAATTTATATTCCTGACTCCAGATACTGCCGATTTATGAGGGCCTCCGCCTCAGCACGGCAGCTGACCATGCATCCTCGAGAATAGACAACCTGGAAAGGGCCATAGATGAGTATTTGCAGCAGTTTGATGCTTGTCGATGTGCCCCCTGCAGGCACAATGGGATCCCTGTCCTTTCAGGCACCTCCTGTAGCTGTGTGTGTAAATCAGGCTTTCAGGGCATGGCTTGTGAGGAGACTCTTAGACGAGGTGAGTCTCAGTTCTGATGCCATGCTAAAAAAAAAAAAGACGTGTTTAAATATTAAAAGTTGTAATAACAGAGTGGCCACTTAGTACTACTTACTGATTACTATTTGTTGATGAATTATTAACCATTTATAGGAAACCAACAATAAACCAAATGCATTCTTCTAAAAGGTTTAGATTAATCTAAAATGTTATTGATTATCTTACAGATTTTTTGAAGGCTCTGTAATTTTATTTTCAGTAAGCAAAATGATAATTTAAATGCTCTTCTATGATATTTGCAGACACATCTGCAGAGATAACAACTCTTTCCAACAACTATAAATTGTGGTGTTGGGGTTTAGACTTGTGTTGCTTTTGCATGCAAAGGAAACATTAGGGGCTAATTAGGTAACCCTGAGGGACTCCAAGGAGGGGTCAAGAGGAGGGGCCTGTGTTGCCTGAGATTATGTTAACAATTGCTCTATAAAGTGTTTGATAGGTAGCAGTTAAACTAATATTAATACATATAAGAATAACTTAATTAACTGACATCATGTGAGAAATAATGGAGCAAAAATATAAATGTCCTCTTAAAATGATACTGTTATCTCAGCAGTACAAATTATGTATAAAAGGGAATGTTCATGAGTTATAGCAACCATTTAAGTAAGTAGCAGTGCACCATAAATGTTCTTCCTGTTTTAAACATACTGAAAATGCAAAGACAAAAAATGTTTAAAAATCAATAGATTTTTATTCTTTTCTAAACTCTAAATCTGATTTTCCTAACTCTGATTTTCATCAAGATGTGGACATTGACAACAGCCAATAAATAACTCCTCTAGGTATCTGAAGAATTCCAGTGTTTGCCTGTGACTCAGTTTTTTTCTTACGATTCCTGTTTACTGATCAGAATACTTAACAAAAATGATTCTGTGGTTGATTTTTAAAGAATCGTTTGCTGGTCAGTTTTTAAAACTCAGATAATTCATCCTCCACAAATGTTTTGCTGTAATTCATTCAAACGTTTTTCCCCACCTGTTTTCAGGGCTGCCAGATTTTCCACTAACCTTGTTCTTAAAGGAATAGTACACCCAAAACATGATTAGCCTTCATTTTCTACTCACCCCCATGCTGAACAACACTCTGGAGTACTTTTTTGATATCTCAAAAAGTAGTGTATAGGAAATCCTATACACTACTT